CCATTAAAAAAAAATATTGATAATAAATGAACAATACATTTAATGATACAGGAAATAATACAGGCTGTTCCACGAAGATATACCCATTGAATATCTCTGGAGATAATAAAGATAATCAAATTATCATTGTTTTATATTACTCACAGTGATGAAAACTACGAATATTTATTTTATTATATTATTTTTTAGATAGACGTTTTATAGAGTTTATTATTCTAAACACTTTAATGTATTACGCATTTATACTTGATGAACGGTTTCTAAGTAACAGTCGTTTTAAATTCTACTAAACCGCGTGAAAACCGATATTATCTAGGGATAACATAACCGCGTTACCATCTTCGTGAGGCAGCCTGTATTTACATTTATAAAACATAAAATATTGTTGGCGAAAATCATTTTATTTCTATTCCCTTTGTAAACAGAGGATTTTATTATTGATTATTGTACTGGCATTGAAAATATGAGCTTATGTAAAATTTCAACTCGACCGGACCACGGGGAGTGGGTCAAAATTCGATCATAAGTTTTAAACGAATTTCTAAGGCAATGTAAAAACATCAGCCAGGTAGAAATTTCGAAATCATGTTGGCTAATTCGCGTATAGTGTTGCAGGAAACTGTTCGGGGTTTTGGTTTTAAGCTTTTAAGTTAGATCGGTTTTGCGCTGCAAAATGCGACGAGGAAATAAATAACATTCTTCATACGACTACTACTCTACGCTAGGTGATTATATATATATATATATTTTTTTATACTCGATTTGTTTTAAATAATTATACATTTCAACTAACAACATGTTCGTCGTACGTCTGTAGTTTATAAACTTATTAAAACTATAGGATCGATGTTTTTTCCGTATTGTCGGTTTTATTTGCCACGTTTTAAATAAAAATGTTTAATAAAATTGATTATTTTGCTGACAAAATATACAAACGGAATAGAAAAAAATTAATTAAAATGTATGAAAAAAATTACAGTGATGTTGTCAAGCGCAAAAATTATTTGACGAAAGTTAGTTTATCATTAAAATATACAAATATACGACACGACAAACATACAAAAAACGTTTACCGTAGTGGATAGATAATTTAAACAAAAAATACAGTCTACATAAAATCTACCTGTGGATATTGTAGTTTAAATTGAATCAAACTCTTGTTCGACATTATAAACATAACGGCGGATAAAATAAAAATTCACAGTGAACAATTTTATGATGAAAATGTCCAATAAAAGTTCTATAATAATGGATGTGTATAAAACAGAATATGTATAAACTGATCGAATCAAATACACCCGAGTCATACGAAACATCCAAAAGCACGTTAATGTAAAATGTAACGTAAAATGTCAGAAGTGGCTAGTGCAGATTTCAAAATCTAATTGAAAGATTTCGAAAAGTATTCAACAACCGAGTTCAATATATTTTTTCGTGTAAAACTATTTCTGAAACCGTGGCAGTGAAACATAAAAAAATACGGACATAAATACATGTTACCATCATGTCACTCTTGTAGGTGGAAAATTAGGAAGACAAGAATATAAAAAGTAATATTTAGTTCGTACCTATAGGAAACGATAAATAGTTGCCGCAAATGAGATAAAAACGATTCTGAGCAAAGTCTGGTTAAATATATGCTATGAAAAATTTGAATTGAACTACGTTAATTTGTAACTTAAATTAACTAAAGTTAAATAAATAAATACAATTATTATTGTTCGTGGTTTTCGTCTCGGGATTTTCGAGTATTATTGCTGGGCCGTAACATTTTCATTATGTTGTCTATCAAAATAATTATCGCAGTTAGTTTAATGTACTATGACATTCGTTACAGTACCTAATTTTTTTGCCGGGCCACATTTTACACATCGAATTTAAGGAAAAACGTCAATTTTGTCGCAGTTTATCGTATCTTAACTGGATTAAAATCGTAAGATTATTGGAAAAATTGTGCCACATATCGAAAGTGTTAACAAATCGATATTCGGTGAAAACGTAAGTTTCTACGATAATTTTTTACCGAATCATGCAAAAAAAAAAAAAAACAACAACAATATCTAAAATAACACATACCGTTATTGCGTACATTTATTCCAACGTTTCTCCCCAACTGTTCAGCTACAAGGAAAGTAAAAAATAACTTTCTCAATGCACCAATTACTCAATCTACTGTGCTATCAAAAACTATCCTTGGATTCGATGACAGGAGCAATATTTTCAATAGAAAAGTTTTTAACAAACAGAAAAAAAAGCTATATCATAGTGAAACCAATATATTTCCCGCTACGTTTGTTATATAATATTCCAAAATACAAAAATGAAGCATTTCGCCCACTGAGGACAGTCAATCTACGAAATGTTATTTAAGCTTTTAATCAAGCGCATTTAAAATAGCTCCGTGACATAACCATCATCACCGCAAATACTTTTAAGACATAAACTTATAACGGATCCCTGCGCTAGAAATTACTTTATAATCCCCCGAGCTTTGCGAATATAGATCCAAGAAGAAAACTTTAACGGTTCAAGTAAAATTTTAAACATTACCAAGTTGCGGGACTGTACAGGTGTATTTGATTGATATTTCAGATTAAAACTGAGAAAATGTTTTTTTATCTAATAACACCTACTTTTTCATTGGGGTTTTTTTTTTTTTGTTTGTTTTTTCGACACAAGTGATTATTATTATTATTTTATACATTACCTGGTTACATAATATTATTGCCCAGTTGATATATTTAAGAGAAAAGTATTACGACGAATATATTATGGGCTATGTTTTGACTAGAAAACACTAGATAGGAGAATACATAATCAAGAGCTGTTCAAACGGTCAGACCTTGTAAATGAAATAAAAATAAAGTTTAAAATGGGCAGGTCACGTGTGGAGGAAGCAGGAATCCACGATTAAAAAGTATACCTGGAAAATACAAAAGGAAAAAGATCACTATGTATAGATCATAGCTAAAATGAGAATATTGTATTATCATTGACCTTTCAAGTATCTCTGAAAACAAGAATTAGGAGATGCGGACTGGAAGGAGGTAGTAGTGAATAGGAAAAGCTAGAAAAAGAGGTTTAAGGCGGCAGAACAGTCTTAACACTCGTGAAAAGGACAAACATACTATATTATATTTTGTTTTTCAGTATATTTGAAAAACACTTTTGAATTTTAAGAGGTCGTTATTTTAAAAGTTACGTTTCGAAAATATATGTTTTTATGTACAATCATGAAGTAAAAAAAAAAAAAAAAAAAATAAAAAATTACAAATTTACGCTTAACACTTACCGGTCGCGTACACATAAATAAATCGTTGCAGTTTTATCAATATCACGTATCTTGGACTATCGCCTATCGGCGACTAACCGGGACAAAAGTATTCTTTCGAGCAAAGCATGTTATTGTTGCTTTTGTTGTAAGTGAACGATTTTCTTTTTTTTCCGCAACGATTCTACGCCGAGAAATATCGGTTATATATATATACGAACAGACGCGTGCTCAACGTCACCTTTATTATTGCCATACTTATAGGTACGCAAAACCGGGTATAGGTATAGACGGTGTGAAGCTTATATAGATAACTGTAGGATATTATTTCGTGGGTGACGAAACTTCTGTCCTCGTTCCAGCATTGTGAACTAACAAGCCATTCCGATTGGTCCATATTTACAATCATGTATTAGTAACAATGATAACTATGGTTTCTTAAAAGATATCCTCTGTAATACGGCTCTCTTCCACCATTGCCCGTTGAATGACGATCGCTTGTCGAAGCTGAACGCAGAAATAGTTGAAATATTACACATCAAGAGCTGTTGTTTTATTTGAAGGGTACAGGGAAAGAAAGACAGTAGTCCATTTTTGAAAATTGTTCAGCTGAAAAAAACTTTTCTACTACACACGACTACATTCTTTTATAACCAGTAGATCGAATATTTTACTTTTAACATTATCCATCCGAAACTTTTTTTCACCGAATGAAATTCAAAATTCGATAATAAACTCAAGGCGTCATCGCAGGCCGGTCAGGAGTATGAAGGGTTAGGATGGGTATACAAACTTGTTTATTTTATTTATAGCTAAACAAATATAACGGTGCAGGGGTCACAACACACAAAACCAAAAAAAAAAAATGGTAGTATTCACGCGATTATAGTTATACTATCACTTACTCTCACAGTCTCACGATAATTACTATCAACAGTTACGTATGAGCGATAGTGTGGAAGTTTCGCGTTGACCGCACAACGACCGTTCGCGATAGTAGATATCTATCACAGACGCGTCGTTCGCGACAGTAATAAATCGCCATCGTGTGGACCGGACTTTTAGTATTTATACGCCCGAATTAATAGCATACTAAGCAAACCTTCGATCGATTTTTATACCGTAATAAGCATTTCCACAGTCCTAATAATATTATTATCACAATAACTGTCGACATTACCGGTACGTTATTGTTGTATGTATACTCGTATCTATGCAATTACACTGATAACGTTAGACGAAAAAAGCGATTCCATACGGTCGTTAAATACGATTATCAAACATGTTCGGGACGATTTTTATGATGTCCTACTACGCCGTTTTATTCGTTAAGTATAGTACAAAGACATTCGGGTTATGCTGTCGGGGAACCTTGAAGTTAACGTCGTTTTACGCGAATACAATATAACAATACCGACTGTAATAAAATCGAGTTGTAAACGAGCACAGAAAACAGTAGCGTTTTCGATTTGACGATTATTTTTTGCACTGAAAACTCTCGAGTGCCGAAACTTTCACTTTCATATTATCGGATACAAGCACACCGTACGAATCGGAAATGTAAACTTGCCGTTTTAGTTTTGTTTTCGTTTCCTACCCGCCCCCTCCCGTTAGACGCGGTAAGATGTGCACAATCGCAGAGCCGAAATCGGCGCAATAGTATAGTTGTCCGTCCCCAAACCAGTTTTTACACTCGGCCATCAATGCAAACGGTATGGTGCCGAAAACGCTACGAGTTGACGACACAAGCCGCGGCGAATCGGAACCGAGCGCCCGGGAGCCGACGCGCGGGACCGAGAGGACGGAGAAATCTTACCTGAGACGAGGGGCCGACCCCGATTACGCCCGTCTTGCCGGCGGCGAACGCGGTGCTGCCGTTGCGCGCGACGGCCATTTCGTCCTGAAGTTGACACCGTTTGGCGTGCTCGGCCAGGCACGCCACGTACGCGATGGCGTGCGGCACGTACGACTGGTCGAACGTGCCGGAGAACAGCGCCTGCGTAATGCCCGGCGGTCCGGCCGCGTACACCGGCACGTCTTCGCCGCCGTGCGTGGCCCACTGCCGCGGCACAGCAGCCCCGTGCAGCCGGTTCTGTTTCTCCGCGTCCGTCGCGTTCACCATGGGCACCAGCCGGTGTTCGGTACTGTACCCGGGCCCGTTGCCGTACAACAGCGTGCTGTACGGCAGCCCGTCCACGTCAGACGGCTTGTCGTCCACGCCTGAAACAAAAGGCCGATAAAGAAAACGATTATTACTTTATCGCAAAGGAGGGCGTATTTTTTTTTTTCTTGAAACATTATTAATTCATTGATACCGTTGGATTTTTATGAAAATTAAGTTCAAATGATACAAACTTAAACTAGATAATTATAGATAACGATAAAAATAACTATTTAAATTGAAAAGTCTAAAAACAAATTAACTGTTCGACTATTTAATATTGATGCTTTATAATAATAATAATAATAATAATACAAAAATAAATTGTAGAAAATGCGTATTTTCGTCCGTGTATTGTAGTCTATTTTTGAGTCTTAGAGATAAAAACAAAATCTGTTTCAAAACCTAAAGAAATTGTAGTTATAATAATGATATAATGGATAATTATATTGATAATAATGTGTGATATTAATAATAATTTTTTCCCCTCCGTATTTCGGTGATTCGTACATTTTCTTATTGTATATTATAGGGCCATTCAAAATGATTCGTCCGATTTCAAACAGTTATATGTATAAAAGTTAGTACGAAAATAATTGATTTATGAGCAAAACGGAAAAAAGGTCCCCGAAACCGAAGTGGTCAAAGACCTACACAGAAAGTTTTCTGAATAATCCGTGCTGTGTCTAAAAGAGGTTAAAGGGGTGGAAAAGCATTATTTTAGAGAGATTTCTAGACAAGAATGGTGGACGAGAAACTTATCGTAATCCGTTATTCTCGTAGCCGGGAAATGCAAGATGAAAAATGGGTTTTCACTGCCCGTATTTTAAGAAAAAGTTAACATATTACGTATATTATTTCAATTGACAAATGTTTATCAAATATACAAGTCGACCGTACTTCGCATTATTGGTAGGCCACCGATGTAGGCGGGAAATTCTGCTGGTACGAAATGATATTGTGCAGGGTAATTTAGTTTGTATAATTTGTATGCGACGATAAATCCTGTCGGGGCGTACCTATACACGTTAATTGAAATCAAATCATTGCAAACCAAAACCGATTTTGAGCAAAACTGTCGGTTAAACACGGAGTTTTGATAAATTCAAATTGAAAATTGTATTAATTTGAAAATGTAAAATGAGTAACGACGTTGTACGTGTATTCGACAAAAGACAAAATAAATAATTCGAAATAAATTACCCGGCTCGGACGTAACTTTTCGTATTACTATATTTGTGTGCATCATAGTATACAATTATTGTATTGGGTACATTTGGATTTTAAATAAACAATAAATTGCCATCAATATCAATGTCATTGTTTTGATAGGAACCTATTTTACTTTTGATTCGGAGCGTAGCGAGGGGATGTATTGATTTTACAATTATGTTTATTTGTTATTTTTTTTTTTTTGGTTACTGTGTATATCGTTCAGTTTGATAATGTAAAATTCTGTAGATAATACATTAAACGTTACTACAATCTTCACTTAATAATCGCAAAATACGGGAAAGTACATAATTTATATTTATTTATCCATAATCTACCAATAATGATTATGAATTTACTTTCATTGCCCTTTTAATTTAAATATTTGAACGTTTTAAAATTGATAATATAAGGTGTAAGATACAGACTATTGTAAATTAAGTTTTCCGGAATTTATATTCCAAAGATTATTCTATTTTTATAACTCTAGAGCTTTTGTGGCACGGGGTAAAATTATTCGGTTTGTTTGGAACTTTTTTTTGTTTCCTTATTTTCAGTAATGCGACTGATTTGATGGGGTAATTTGAAAAAAGTGATTTTTTTTTTTGTCACATTTAATTGCTAAGGGACCACTGAAGTGTACAAAATGTCTTTCGGATATCGATGATCCGGTGTATCAAGTGTAGCACATTTTCTGAAAGGAAATTTTATCCTATTTTTTACTAATTTTAAACTATATTGAATAAATTAAAAAGTGCGCGGTCCGTGTGGGAACGGTGTGCGGCTACTACTACTGCTGACAAAATAACGACGATATTAACGTGTTGGATCCGACAGCGACGGGAAACCGCGTGTAAAAATAATCGTCCAACTTGACGACCAAACACCTCCGACACCACTCGTAAAGCATCGCACGATTGACGATTACTCGCCGAGTGCACGAGTAGCGTGGGACCGGTTTTACACAAGTTGCTTACTCGTCCCACCTATTTGCAACTTGTGTTTTCTACTAGAAATGCCCGCCTATAACAGTGTCACGCCCGTGCTCAGTATTAGCGTTTAGGAAAAACCCACCCTAATTTCCGTCAATAATATTATTTTGATAGGTATTTTACTTTTTATTTCGTTATGCTTTATTTCCAATGAGGTTCATCGTAATACCGTGATGGTATTAAAATCGCAGGGGTCCCTAACCTTTATACCACCGAGAACCATTACGCGTACCGCAGGTTGGGAACCGCTGAATTGTAACGTATTGAATCCAAAAACGCGATCGTTACGGAACTATATTAATTTTTGCGTGTTCGCATCCGCGGTGTTTACATTGGCATTTGTCAGATATGTTAATATTTAACTAGGCATATTACTAATATTTGCAAAGAACAAATCGGAAACGGTTTCGAATATTATAATTAAAGACCGGATTTAATTGATATTGCATCTTTTTTTTGCAATAAACATACATCAGATCTGATTAAACGTATAGCCGATGCATACTAAAAATATTCTGCCCATTTAATTTTTTTTAATTCAATTTGTTTCAATTTTCGTCGTTTTTGCAATTTTTTTGGCGATTTTCCCACGTTTTTAAACCATATGGCGTTTATCGATCGTCTGGAATTTTCTAGAAGCTTGGAGAGCCCAGCGAGCGATAAGCGTCTATATATATATATATATATGATGGCACCACCGAGAATAATAAATGAATACGGAAAATAAATGCCGGATATACCTTTACCACCCGTACCTATTATTACAAAATGGGGAACATGGTTAAATGCTGCACTTTTCTATGCAAACAATTTTGAAAAGTTTAAAACCGTGATTGAAAGTTTAACGGATGATGCTACGAGTGTCGAAAAGCTGAAACGACCTGTACAAAATAATACAGTCAAATGCGGTGTGGCATTCATAAAATTACACTGATCCGAGTTATCCGTGAATCTTAGAAATTTGAAAGAACCTAATAGTGAACTGCTGAAAAGCACGGCTATTTTTAGAAAAAACGAAGATATTTTAACATATATTCCTGGTCCAAACGGTAACAAAATTAAAGACAAATGTATGTATATAGTTGAAAAAAATGAAGTGTATAAAACTTTAAAGCCTTACTATGAAGTCATGTCAGGTAAAGCAAATGTTAATTTAGACATATAGCCTACTTTATTAAATTGTTTTAAATATGCACCGATAACTAGTGTAGACGTAGAACGTAGTTTTTCTTTGTACAAACATATTTTAAGTAATAGAAGATTTAATTTTAATGAACAATTTTTTCTTATATAACTCCTGCATTTTTATAGTGCAATTTTTACGTTTTTTTTTTTGGCGCAATTATATAATTTTAACATTGCAATTTTCGTGTGTTTTAAACGAAATTTAATCCGGTCTTTAATTATAATACAGATATATGTCCGATATGTTTCGGAACGGAATGAAATCGAATCGACAATGAACGATACGATTTTGTCCGGAACTATTGCATACATTATTATTACTGGTAGGTTTATCGATTCCGGCCGCGCCGCAGCGTAAAATTCAAGCACGTAGTAAAATGACAGTTACAATTAACAACTCTCGCGTATACTAAAATCCTGTATACACGCGTACAATAACAATTAAATTTAACTCACGCGGTGTACAGAAAGAATCCGGCGACAATTCCATAATAGTGTAATGCTCGAGGCGGTTAACTTGATAACACGATAATAACGATACAATAATAATAATAATAATAATAATAATAACACGCGACAAGCGTATACTATCACGATTGTCGAATATCGTTATTATTAAACGTCCGACAGTGATATTAGGCGGTACGATTGTAACAGTATAATAGTGGGTATAGGATACGCGCCGCGGTAAATACTATAACGTCAACTGTACAGCGGCTATAATTCCTACGACAGTACCCGTATAGAGGTGTCGGCACTTTAAATGAATTTCGGTGTCGACATTTCGGATTTCCGTCGACCCGTTAACGGGATGTTCCACTTTTGTATTTAGTTTAGGGGGAGAGCGGCGGAGTATCATTTCATCACAGGGGGAGCAAATGATCCTATTGCCCAGCTACAGTATTGAAACAGAATCACGAGTCGCGAAATATCTCCGATTATCGCGTGCCCGATCCGGGGGGGGGTGCGATATTCCAACGCGGTAAGCACGGAATGTCATATTATGTTAATGCCGCTGTGACCGATCTCCGGAAACGCGGAATACCGGCGTTTGTTCCCACGGAGACGGACAACAGATTCGCCGAAATCCAAAAACCCGAACACCTCCGCGCGATCCGGAATCCAGATGAACGTCATATTGTCCGTAATGTATTTGTGTATACGTACGTGATCGTTTTATGTCGCGAAACTCGTTTTTAAAGTTCAAATCCGTTCGACGAAAACGAACAGTTTTACAACAAAGCTATAAAATATCTCGCCATACACCCGCTGGACCGCGGACGTTTTTACTGCGCGGACGGTGAGATTTCATTACGTCGCCCCACGGCCGAGGCCTGTTGTACTGTCGTCATTGTGAGTCGTGCCGTAAAACCGCTATTCGCCAAGTACCCATTACCAAACTCGAGACGTTAACATCGTCCGCTAATAATTTACGGGCACCATACAATACCGTATACCTATACATCTATTATGATGCGCCGCCGATACATTACGTTTAATTATTTAATGTGACCGGAGAGAGGTGAACTTTGTTTTAGAGGCGGTTCATTGTTGTCGAGGAAAGGCGACAGTAATTACGTTTCAGGCGCACGATGTATTACAAGGTATGACCAATAAGTAACGAGACTGTGATTTTCGCCACGCTTGTGGTAACACCGCGAATCTGAAATTTCGTTCGGTTGATCTCTCATCCCTCCTCTATCGATACGTGTGCTCGCGATTATCGTACAATAATTAATTTTCCAGTTGTGTTATGTTTTCGACAACGTGTTTGTAAGGCGTGTCACAAATATGGAACAACGTAATATAAATTTTGCGTTAAACTCGGCGATTCCGTTATGGAAACGTACGATAAATTGGCGAAAGTGTCCGGTGATGAAGCCCTGAGTCGTGCTCAGGTGTTTCGATGGCATAAAAATTTTAAAAATGGTCGTGAAAGCGTCGGGGATGAACCGCGAAGTGGGAGACCGGTTGAAGCTCGAACTGACAACAATGTTCAGCGTGTGCGCACTCTCGCGCATCAAGATCGGCGTTTAACCGTTCGAATGTTGGCTGATGAACTTAATTTGAAACGAGAAACCGTCAGAAAAATTTTAACTGATGATTTGTCCGTGAAAAAGCTGTGTGCAAAGATGGTACCTTCATCATGACAATGATCCAAGCCATCGTGCCTTCAGTGTGTCGCGATTTTCGACCTCTAAGAACATCGCAGTGTTGCCACAAGCGCCCTATTCGCCGGATATGTCACCCTGCGACTTCTTTTTGTTCCCTCAAACAAAATTGGCCGTGAAAGGAACGCATTTTGAGTCCATAACTGACATCCAGAACGCCGTGACGAGGGTACTTCAGGACATCCCAGTCGAAGTCTTCCAGAAATGTTATGAGAGCTGGAAAAAAACGTTGGAACCAGTGTATAGGGGTGGGAGGGGAGTACTTTGAAGGGGATCACATCGATGTATCTTAATATTTAAATATACGTATTTTATTGAATTAGTCTCATTACTTATTGGTTAGATCTCGTATATCATCGACGCTTTAATTTCACTTGATAATTTCAATACGGTTTTCAACAGACCATAACTTCCCGCATTTTATTTTCGGTCGAATTTCGTATTGTGTTTTCGTCGGCTAAATCACGAAGCTGTACATTTCCTAAGCCCTTTTTGTTAATTTTCGGTCGTACGTCGCGAACTTCTGGAGAATAATATTATTAATCCATTGCGTACACTATTTTACGCTTCGTTTCTACCGAGACATTTTAGTCAAACAAACCAAGACCTTCTAACTCTGTTATATACATATAAAATTGAATATGAAAACAATTATAAATTTAATAGCATTAATGTATACGGCCGTTTAATATCGAGATAATATTTTTTTTGTTTAGGAACTTTTTCGATCGTTCCGCTAAGTAATAATATTTTTCGAAGGTACGCCTATATACAGTTATTGGATTTCAAATGAAATTGATTCATTTTCCGTTTTAACAGTCCATATCGCGCAAACAAAAAATGATTCGGAGCGGTGCAGTATTAATCGTGTTTTAGATTCCGAGCGTAGTAAGGCCAGGTTATCGGTCTACAATGCTGTGTGTTTTTATTTTTTCTTTCTTCTTTTTCTTTGTTTTAGTCTGCGAACACGTTTTTTCCTAGTAAACTCGCTCCCGTTTTTACGCGCAGCAACATTTCTGAAAGTTCAAGTTGCCTAGATGGTGTTTTAAAGATATTATTTTCTGATTTTCGACTGATTTTAAATAAAAGCACTCAAGTGGAAAAAAAAACGTTGGAAAATGTACGCTTTCGCGATTTCATTATTTTATAAAAACACGGACGACGTTTTCTATGAGAAAAATTCATTTAATTGAAAAACCACAAGATACCTTTGTTGTTGTCTTTTTTATTCATTTTTTTAGGGTATTATTTCCAAAACTTTTGAGCCAATATTGAGCTTTTAAGGGTTTTTAATTTTTGGGAGTTTTTTGCTGTAATTCGGTTATAAATTCACATAGAGAATTGAAACTTGGCCATAATACTTATATTGAACGTGGTAAAATTTCAAAAACCATCGGAAAAATTGTTTTTTTTTTTCTAAAAACGTTTTGAAATCAAATTTAAACGAAAATCGAAAAAAACATTGCACTTCAAATTATGTATTACCGAACTGCGCTCGGAATCGTATTTCGTCAGCAATGGTTTATCGTTTACAGATATAAATGAAATAATCTTATGTATCCTACCTTCCCAACTTCTCACCTTCAACAGTGACCGCACCTATCTCCAGTATCAGTTTCCTTTTTTACTCTCATTTCCATCATGGTAATATTATAAATCGACAAAAACCAACGAAAGGATCTAGAGTTTAACTGCTTCGAATAAATTGCCACCGGCCGGAAATTTTACATATTTTTAGCGTGTATGAAATACCGACATGAAAAAATCCAGATGCTTTTTACTTATCGAAAAAGTGTTTTTCGATAAAACAATGCGTACATCGTATTCAAACTAATAGGTTCTTCAAAGAATTAAAAAGAAAAAAATATTTATTATTTATAACGTGAAACTGCGAGTTAATTATTTGTGTAGCACCCGTGACTGGCGGCTATACTAAGCAAATTTTTTTTTCAAAATATTATATTACAGTAGACATTTCTGAGAACCCATCACCACCCATTGTCTCTTGCACAAGGTATGTATAAGAAGACGTATTCAGCAGAGCACTCGAAGAATCGAATCCCATTTTGACGTAAATTATTCACTAATTATCTACCACTCCAAACATACCTGTTTATCTGTACATCGCCAATAATTTAACTTTTTTATGGATTTTTGGATCAACGCTCGGTCCGTAAAATGGCCGCCACTGTATGTCACGTATTGTAACGTTTATAACGGTAATATATTTTTACCTTTAATATTTACGAGTTTTCGCGGAATTAAAGAATTAATATATTTATTTCCATCCATTATTCAGCAATTTATTTTTTTGTATTATTATATACTGTATAATTTACCAGAAGAGCTTCCTGCTGCTCCGGAATGATAGTAAAAATATTTAATTTAGGAAAAAAAAAAAAAAATGATTGTACATATTTACATGTAATAATAATATAATATAATGCTATTAAAAAAAAAACCCAGGTTAAGCGTCCGTTTTATTCATAACATTTTTGTAAATTTATTTCGAAAAAAAAAAAAAAGAAAAAGAATAAAAAGGCAGATTATTATATAATATTCTCATTTATTCATCCTTGGGGATGCTATTGCAATATTGGCCGGGCCGCGGCGTCGCGCTACGCCCACACTATCATTAAATTGTATAATTTAAAAATTTTAGCGCTATAACGCAATAGTAATTTTAAAACGTTTCCAAGTTAACAATGTTTTATATCTAAACGACATTTTGCATTTAATTATTTTCATATTGTGGTGTTTAACAGTTTGAAAAAACGTCGATTAGACAAAAAAAAATGTATTGTGTTAGATTTGCATAATTCGTCAAACGATTCGAGTGGAGAATTATCTTGCCAAACAAATTAAAAATGAAACGATAATTACCTAATTTATTAAAATCATAATAAAAAACCTATAAATAATATCTATGACAGAATGCATCGGAGTTCATTTGCTAATCGTAATCGTTTCGATTTTAGATTTTTTTTTTTCCCAAACACAAAAACGGACCGGCCATGCAACGAAAACGATTTTTATTATTATTATTATTTTTTTTTATAGCGATTCGAAGGACGAAAATAGAAGCATGTTCGGGGTTTAAGTTTAGCAAAACCGTCTTGTATAGGGCTGTGTATAAATCACTCGCAGTTGTTTTGTTGGTATAGTAACGGCCGGGCGAGGAGTCGAGTTCAAAAGTTCTTCATAGTACACCAGTAACATCGGAATTACATTGAAAACTCCTCTAACAAATGTAATTAATTCATAGTAGAAATCAACGCGTATATTTGTATATTTATTAACGGGCAATAGAAAGTTTTTAAAGTTTTTGCTCAGTGTACTTTCAGTAGATTATAATATTATCTCGCGTCCAAAAATTTTTTTTTTTATAGTTTTTTTTTTTTTTTTTTATAAATTATTTATACGAAACATCGGTTTTAAGCTAGTTTAATTTATGATTACGTAACCGTCTCACACGGTATATTCTATCGTCAACGTTAACGCACTAGGTATCTGCAGTGGTATAAACATATAACTGGGGGAGGACACTCTATGGCTCTTTCCTACTATTGAACCTTTTAAACAAGTGCAACGACTATTAATTTCCGACAAGGTATGAACAACGTTATGTTCGTTATGTCTGTTTTTTATAAAACCGTTTGAAAAACAAATTTTCAAGTTTTAGGAAGGCTTCTAGGCGTTCTTGTACTTCGCTTTTGTGATTAACATAAAGTTCCGCACATACACTCACCAATAATTTTGTCAAGAAGTAGCTTTTTTATAGAATACCCATTCACGTAGCTACACTACAGTTCAGATATTAGAGGACTTGTGAAAAAATGTGCTTTTGCCTCGTAAAGTTGTCCTATTAAATTTTCTTGTGATATTTGGTTACTTTGATCAACAGTCAAAGTCCAAGGATCCTTCCTTATAGGAAGTTATACTCTTTTCAAAGAACAAAAAAAAAAAAAATCGAAATCGAACATCTCTAAGGGACAGTTAACCGTGCAAACCATGTTTTGAGTAAAAAAACAGGCCATGCACAGGCTCCTTAGTACAAATATAAAACCCGAATAAATTTTCGTTAAGAATTATAAAATCTTTTAAATTGTGAATGCTAACAATTTTTTATATTCAACGGTTAACAATCAGTAAAAAACCGTGAGCAAGGCTCTTAAATCCTA